GTTTTGCCTTTTAGTTCCTGCTGCAATAATTCTGTAGATGCATGTATGCGAGCAACCTCGTCCACAGGGGCTTCCTCGTTATGGTGCGTGGCTGAGGAAGACCCTGGTAAAATACGATAAAATCTCGGTAATATCGTTGTGTTACGCGCACGAATATATTTCTCTTTGATCTTGACCATAACCCCTGCCTTTATCGTGGCACTTTCGCGCGCGTAACACAACGATATAACCTTTCAACATGGTCTCTTCCTACGATATAGAATAATTCTAGATTACATATTCTAAAGAAAGGTGGCTGGTCGCGCCGGGGTGGGGACACTTTTAATTTTTTTTTCTGAGGCATTAGGGTTTGGGTTAAGATTAGGATTGAGGTTTGGGGATTGGGGTTTGGGGATTGGGGTTAGGGGTTTGGGTAAAAAGACATCTTCCTTTTAGAATTACTATAAATCGGGTAGAATGTGTAATCCACAATTATTATATATCGTAGGAAGAGACCATGCTGAACCACCTTTCATCGTATTTTACCAGGGTTTTCGTCAGCCACGCGCCACAACGAGGAAGACCCTGGAGACGAGGTTGGTTCCAGACTTCCTCGTGATTTAATCCAAGATGGCGTCGTCGGTGCCTTTTTCAATTTTGGTGCCTTTCCTCTATTTATTAATTTATGGGCATGTTTCATCGTGTGTTGTTTTGTTTCTTCATGTCTGGATCAGTGTCTTCAATATTAGGAAGCAAGTTTAAAAGGTAAAGCTTTAAAGTAAATTGCTTAACTAAATAATTGAAGATAAATTATGGGAACATTTTTGATGTTTTCAGCTGGCAGCTTTGTAGTGAAACTGAAAATTTTGACTATCACTATGGAATATGAATGGTACAATTTACAATTTTGATATATTTTGCCTGCCAGAAAATCCTTGAAATAGCGCCAGACATCGGACATTTGTCCAGCTAAAAAGTCAAAATTTTAGTCTGGCAAAACCACTGATTTATACGATTTTCAAATTCAATACATATTAAATATAATTTACATACTCAACACGCTATATTTATACTGTCTTGGTTCTTTGTTGCTTTTAGTTTGACCACAGTGGTCTGATTGATATATTTTAAAAAGAAATGATCACTGTTTTACTATAATAACCTTAGTTGAGACTTGATTTTCTAAAATATATATCAACCTGTTGCTTTTGGTATGCTAAAGTCAGGTGACCATTTATAAAATATAACATATTATTTAAGAAGTACATTCTATAAAGTATTTTGAGTTGTGTAGTGAAATGGTGACATTCAGCAGTGTCGTCTTCACTCGCAAAACTCCCAAAAATTCCCATGACTTCCAGAGCTGTCACACTTCACAATCAATGCTATACTATACAGTTTACCTGTTCCACAATCTACAAGAAAAGATAAATAAATTCCATGGATGGTAAATTCCATGTGTAGGACCCCAAGACAAGACATGCATTGTCGACAACCAATATGTAGGCCACTGCCAAATACGCCCTTTGGCAAGGCCTATTAGACGGTGACCACTCTTGTTAGGTTTACCAAAAATGTCACTTTTCCGCTTCCTCCAGAAAAAATGACACACACTCCCCCCTGCGTATATGTTTTGATTTAGCTGCACTTTTTATTCTATCATTTTTTTCTTAACTTACTAGAAAATCTGCCAGGGTTTGCGGCCTCGCTCAACTTAATTGGTGGCCATTTTGAATGTCGCTGTTGCTATGGCAACCGTTAATTAGTGTTGTCGGCTCAATTAGTTCCAATACAATTAACAGGCTTGAAGAATTATTCAAAATGATATATAGCTTTTGTTTGTAGCATATATATTAAGGAAGTTATGGCTAATTAACTGAAACCACTCTGGTCTATTTACTATAGTAAAAACAGGTCCCAAAAAAGCCGAATTTTCAAACATTCAAATCCTTGCCATTTCTTTAATATATATCGTAGAGCATCCATTCAAACATTTTTGGAATGTTTGTTTAGAGATCTTTCCAGGGGTTTAATTTGTTTCCACATGTGAGGTATTCTAAAAATTTTGTCTCGTACCTACACTGATGTGAATGGGAACTGAAGGTAAAAAAAAAAGTTAAAAAAACTTTGATGGGATTCGATCCAAAGCTTTTGACCTTGTGGACAGATGCCGCAAACACTAAAAACAGCTTGTTTATATCTTACTATATGTAAATAGCATATCAAATGAATATCCACTTTCTATTTTTAATGAGATAAGATATATAAATTGTTGACTAGTTAAGTTCGGTGAGACTATGAAGCAATTATACTTTCCCATGTAACTTGTGAAATATAGCTTCCAAGATCTCTTCGAATTAGTTTTAGAATGATTTAAATACTACATAATGAGGCTTATGGCAGTCATATTTGATGGCCCTCATTAGGCATTAGCTATTCACTAGCAAATTTAGAAAGAAAGAGAGACTTCCCAGAAAGAAGATATTTCCTTTCCCACCAGTAAAAGTTCTTTAAACATGTACTCAACACTAGAGTAGAATTATGTGAGGCCATCTAATATGGTTGCCATTTGCTTCATTAAGTGCTATCCAGTCCTTATTTCAAATCAGCACTGGGCAAAACTTTCTGGCTGACATTAGTTTGTTTGACATTAGTTTCAAAAGCCCCCCACCCCATCCTGTAGGTTTTAATAGCATCCTCCAGGGGCAAGGCTTGTGCAAAGCGAAATTTTTGTATGTTTTGCACGGTTTCGCAGTTTTGTCTTATCTATATTTGATTTTTTGTATGAACAGGAATATAAAGTGAAAATTTTAACATACAATTAAAAGGTTTGTACCCATGCACATCCTCGCAACTTCATTATATAGTACAGAATGTGCATAATCATAGTGCATTTTTTATATTTACTGCCCAAGGTATAAAGGTATCCTTTCAGATATATTCTATTTATCAGGTTGTGCTAGTGATTTGCGCATACAACAGGCATATTAGAATGTCAACTACATGACAAATGTGTGTCACTCAGTCAATATTGTGTAATATCCTAGTATTTATTATTATAATATAGCATTTGTTAATTTCTGAATGCTGATTAGTTCAGGTGGCTCAATACAGTTAGATATAATTTTTTAAAGAGAGGTTTCTTGTTAGAAGACAAAAATTATACCCCATATATTGAGCAAGCTTCTAAGAGTTGAAAATTGTTCATAGAAATGACATCATCACCGTTGCTATGGTCACAATGACGTTTCAATATGGTCTACATTTTACCTTTTAACAAATTTTACTCGAAAAAAGGCCCGTTACCCCCATTTTTTATTTCGTAAAACGTTTTCATTCAGAAAAATGCTTGATGTGAACAAGTTTAAAAAAATTCTGTAGATCAAAAAATTATTTATTACGAAAAATGACGTTTCTTAATTTTTTAAAACTACTGATTTACAGAATTTTTTTTTAACTTGTTCATATCATTCATTTTTCCAAGTGAAAGCGTGTCACGAAATAAAAAAAGGGGGTAACCGGTCCTTTTTTCTATTAAAAAGTGTTAAAAGGTAAAATGTCAGCCATATTGAAATTCATTGTTACCATAGCAACGGTAATAACGTCATTTTTGTGAACAATTTTCAACTTATAGAAGCTTGCTCAATATATGTGGTACAATTTTTGTCTTGTAACAAGAAACCTCTCTTCAAAAAGTTAATTAAATCTAAATCACGATTTTGTCATATTTCAAAAACTATATTGAGCCACCTTGAGAGCCGTGTTGATATAACTCGATGTCAACCATAGATATCTTATACACACTAGATAGTGCATCTAATTATTCTGCAATTCAAAAGTTGAAGCCGTGATTGCAGTCTCGGGTCGTTCCAATGAAATGTGAAGGTTCGTATATTTTCTATTTTTTAAACAGGGAACTTAAATATTAAGTTAACCCTATTCCAAATACGTTTTTGAACTATTGAAACAATGAAAGTTATTGTTGTTTTTAAGTGTTTATTAGCAAGTGGGAACGACCAACATGGCCGCCATCTATTCAAATGGGGGTAACCGCTGGAATATTCTTGGCTTCAATTTTACTAAAAGAGATGCGCTATCTAGTGTATATAAGAGATCTATGATGTCAACACGGAAACATTGGGAAATTTCTTTCTTTATATAAGACATATATAATTCCTTCTCTATATAAAACATTTTTTCCGTGTTGATATTTAATAAATATAAAACATTTTCCGTTGTTTATATCAACACGAGTGCGATATATACAACTGTACTGTATATCAATACGGAAATGTCTATATTTATAACATAGCACTCAGTCAAACAGTTAAAAATACAAAAAATGTCCTTGCTTACAAGCGGCGGGAAATTTCCTGTGTTGACATTGAGTTGTGTCAACACGGTATATTATAAATAGTTTTATAATATAGCATTTGTAAATTCTGAACGCTGATTGATTAAGCGCTGTGTTGATATAACTCGATGTCAAAACGGAACGTCGGAAAGTTTCTTTGTGCTATGTTATAATTATCAAATTTAAAACATTTTATCCGTGTTGATATTTAAGAAATAGAAAAATTTTCCGTGTTTCTATAGAGTTATAGAGACACGCATGCTAGTTTGGGAGAACGAGAAATAATCAGTGGGATATTATTTCGAGTTTTCCCAAACTAGCACAAGTGTTTCTATAACTGTTTAGAAACACAGGAAAACATGTTTTCTATTTCCTTTATTAAATAACCTTATGATAATAACTCAAAATCAATATTTTTAACGCGATTAAATAGTATATTCTTATTACACAATAACAAGAAAATGTTGCCTAGCAACAATACCGACATCAATTTTCAGTTTTGCCAACTGCAAAATTATGGAAAAAACACGCTGAAAAATTTAAAGCGAAAAAACGTTTGGTAAGTGTTTTCCACTGCTTGTTTGACAAAATTTCATATTGACGAAGATTTTTAATCGACATTTCAGACGAAAACGTTTGTTTTAGTGTGTTTTTTGATGTTCATGTTCTCAACCAATCAGCGCAGGCGTTATTACAAGGTTATTTTATAAAGAGTTATATCAACACTCGTGGAAGTCGGGAAAACTCGAAATTGTGTGAAAACACTCCGCCCTTCGGGCGTCGTGCTTCCACACAATTTCTCGTTTTCCCAATTTTCACTCGTGTTCATATAACTGTATGTCAACACGGAAAAAGTTTTATATTTGTTAAATATAATTACCTAAGTTGAGAGGTGAATATTTTTCTTTTCTTGTGAAGGACTCTGTGTTTTTTGCTTAAGTAATAAGGGCTGAATTACATTAGTAAATCAAAATTAATTTCTCACAGTTCGGTAGTAAATGAATAAATTTAATTACTTCTGTATTGAGCATGTTCTACCGTAGTCTATCATTTCTGTTGTTCAGCAAATGACCATTACGTACTGACACTTTGGTAGAAATCTTCCACACATGAATTTGAACCCCCAAATTGTAACTCCTGGTTGTCAAATATAAGAACGGGTGGAAGGAGTTAAAATAGGTATACATTTTAAAGTATACTTATTAATTAATGTTTTATTAATATTTGAACTCAACAAATAGCACAATTTTAAACAATTTAATCCAATGAAAGATTACATGTCACGCAACGTACTGAAGTAGCAAAGTAGAAATCCAACATAGGCAACTTGTAAAAATCAACATGATGCGGGAGTTGTAGCCAATACTGTAAGGCGTAGATTGTAGACTCAAGCACAAGATTTTTGAACTGAAACACAGCAGCAAATAAAACTAAACAACAGCAACAAATAAAAGTTATTTAGATGCATGTCACACACTTTGGAGTTACACCAAATCTTTTTGTTCATATTTATGGAAATTAATGTGTGCACTTTCACAATGAGTGAACACATTGTTTTTCTGCACAGGGTGTCCCAATAGAACCAAAACTACAGTATTGAAGTATCCTGAGAACTTGCTTCCATAGCACAAAGCTGAACATATAGATGTGTAAAGTATTGACAGGTAGTTAAATACTGATTTATTAAAAACAAGCCTGGAAATAAGTTGCAGGTCACGGTCATTGACCTGCACTATTACAGTGTGCTATTTGTTGCGTTTTTCACAGGAACAAATTTAAGTACGAAGAGTTCAAGAAATTGGTAAATTCCCCTCTACCGTTATACAGATTGATTGAATAAATCTACCAAACGTTGTCGTGACTTGCACAGGAAGTCGTGATATATATAGGTCGAGTGCATAAGTTAATGTGTAAAAATGGACCAAACATTGTGAGGACTTAATTGTCTCTAAGTCCTCATAATGTAGTTCTACAGGTCGAGTGTATAAGTTAATGTGTAAAAATGTACCAAACATTGTGGGGACTTAATTGTCTCTAAGTCCTCATAATGTAGTTATACAGGCCGAGTGTATAAGTTACTGTGTAAAAATGTACCAAACATTTTGGGGACTTAATTGTCTGTAAGTCCTCATAATGTAGTTATATAGGTCGAGTGCATAAGTTAATGTGTAAAAATGGAACAAACATTGTGGGGACTTAATTGTCTCTAAGTCCTCATAATGTAGTTATACAGGTCGAGTGTATAAGTTACTGTGTAAAAATGTACCAAACATTGTGGGGACTCAATTGTCTCTAAGTCCTCATAATGTAGTTATACAGGTGGAGTGTATAAGTTAATGTGTAAAAATCTACAACAAACATTGGGGGAATTAATTGTCTCTAAGTCCTCATAATGTAGTTATACAGGTGGAGTGTATAAGTTAATGTGTAAAAATCTACAACAAACACTGTGGGGACTTAATTGTCTCTAAGTCCTCATAATGTAGTTATATAGGTCGAGTGTATATAAGTTAATGTGTAAAAATCTACAACAAACATTGTGGGGACTCAATTGTCTCTAAGTCCTCATAATGTAGTTATACAGGTCGAGTGCATAAGTTACTGTGTAAAAATCTACAACAAACACTGTGGGGACTTGTACAGGAATTTTACATTGTGAGTTAATATAGATTATCAGCAGTTTTAGGCTTAAATTGAAATTTGGTGCATTTTGCGCATTACTTACTGCATCCCGCTCCCCCCTGGTTCACGGGGTAACAGTCTGCTTTCAATCGACGCTAATGCCTTACAGCGCTACCTGCAGAAATTGGTCGGCAGTTTTTTATTGGTTCGTTTTTAAATTATACTCGCGTAAATTTTCCTAATTTTAAAACGGCTTGTATTTTTAGGTGTTGTTGGCAAGACATCGCCACACGAAACAGCATCTTTGATAGTTAACGTATCGTGTATTGTTTTGTTTGACCTTGTCTAGCATTTCTATTTATTGCTTAACGAGAAACGACCATGCACCTTATTTACATAATGGGTAATGTCTATTTATAAAACAACGCACTTGATTGGAAAATAAAATTAACAACCATGCGGCAACGTCACTGTACAGGAAACGCATTCATTGATCACAGATTGTTATCCTCCCACCACTGGGGGAAGGACAGTCTTTATGCAGACTGCAAATTGCTGTTTGCGAGGAAGAACTTCTCAAATACTACCAAAACCTTTTGATACTACACTCACTTATTACCACCCTGCAATTTTGTAGATATGCTGTGTGTTAAATCTTCCTTCTCCCCATCTGTGGTAAAGCAGCACGTTGGATATGATGCAGAACAGCATACGTGGCAGGATGACTTATGATCAGAACGGTCGAAGAAAGGTATTGAAACCAATTCTTTCTATATGATCAACTTTAGGAGTGGTGGTGCATTTCCCCGACGTGTGATAAATTGTATTAGAAGGTGGTTGGTAATCGCGAGAATGGTGGTATAAATTTGTTCTAAAAAGGAATGAAGGTTAAATTCTTAGAACTTAGCAATAAGGAATGAGTAAATTTAAGAGAATATGTATAGCAGCCAATTAGCTTAATGTTCACTTAGCCGATTCTGTTTACCAAACTCCAAACGTCTGGACCGTAGTACAGTAGGTACCGTTCGAGCTTTACTTTTGAGAGTGAATACTAAGCCACTAATTACCATGCATGAGAGTGCGCACATTATCATTACGAGAGTGAGTTTATTTAAATAAATAAGAGCGAGTTAATTAGTATTCATGCATACAGGGGTGAGGTAATTAGTATACAAGTGACGATGTGCACATGACATCATAATGATATGCAAGACATGTTCGGGCAAGACTTGCTGACTAGACAATTTTTAGCGTCCCCTCCGCGTGTTTGGTACAATATTGGACAAGGTGATTAAATAGTATTCATGTTGGGCAAGGTGATTAATAATATTCAGGTTGAGCAAGGTGATTTAACATTCAGGGTACCGTTAGAAAAGCAATGATTATGATAATATGGTATATTTTAAGGACGAGTAACATCGAAACGAATAAGGATATTCTATATTTTTGTATAAATTTGCTATCTGAAAAACATAAAGAGATATATATGCGTCGATGAAGTATCGTTTTGGGTTGGATAATGTCTTTGAAAAAAATAGGTACGCCATAGCGTACATGTTTCCACTGTGATTTCATTGTGAGGAAAATAGAAAGTGGAATATGGATAGGAATAAGTTGTGGAGTGGAGAACCACCATAGAAACTGATGGCACCATAGAAACTGATACACACAAACATCATTGTAATGCATGTGTTGGGTATACAGCACTTTTCATACAATTATTAGACATATACATATTTACATTAAACTACACAATACATGCATAGTTCTAGTGGTTCACAATATAGTTAGCAAAAGGCAAAACGATATCCAGTCATTCACATTTTATGTTCCACTGTTCCGATAAGTTTTGTCCTACGTGTGTTCAGTGTTCAAACAGCTTTTCGATTGGCAATAATGTCGATAAATTGCATAAAGAAATCCATTCTGTTTGAGAACATTATAGTTGCTGTGAGCTTTCACATACTGTACAACTGTCAAGTAAATACATCAAGAAGAGATTCATTATTTTGGATAGTTCTAACAAGTCCACAGTCCTTAAATTGAATTGAAGTATTCCTCTCTTGAAGTGCAGCAAATATTTTTAAAAGTAAATTGTTGCAAACAGAGGAAGTGCAAACGTTATGGTTAGAGTTGTACACAAGTTGAAGTCATTTCTAAAAGTAAACAAGAGTTAAAATTCTGCAATGTAACCAATATATGAATACAAAACTTATGTATATCACCAGACTAATTAGTACATACAACTACACTATCTATATTATACAACAAAAAGTAAATGTAACTACACGTGCTTGATTGTATGTGGAACATTATAGCCATATAAATACAGGACTCCTAATATAAAATGATAGTGAATTTAATTTATACATATAAAAAGTAAGACAGTTGCTTATAAATTCTAAAATTCTTAGCGAAACAACAAAATCTTAGGTCGGCAAAAATATAGGCAACACACTACACATACAGATGATACAGTCGGCTTGGTACTATAAATGTGCAGTTGTAATTCTCGACTGCACGTATGCGGTATGCAAAACATTTGCCAAAATATTGAATACATATTTACATACTCTTAACATGATCGTGTATTTTATGCGATAAAGTCTCAGATAGTGTTCGATTTTAAAATTAGAACCAACTTACCTCAATACTGAAGAAACTGTACCAATATACTCAAGTTCTTACTTAAAAATATTGAGCAAATAGCGATGAAAGCACAAAGAGATCAACAAAAGCATCAAAGCATGCCTTCGTTCCGCCATATTAAATGATCGAACCGTTTTGGCCAACCCAGTCTCGTCCTCAAATTGATTCTATATACTAATTGACTGTGGTTTTGGCAATTGCGTACCGTGAAATCCGGAAATTCCCGATGCTTCATTTAATATGATGATCGAGCTGTGATCGGGTCTTGATCGAGCCATTTATGGGTATTAGGGTAAATGCGCCTAATTCGGAAATCTCCGAAATTAGAATCCTCGTATACAACACCCAAATTCCAGCTCGGACGACAGCATTAGTGTCTACTGTTACACAGTAGACACAAAAATCGCAATCCCTAGTAACATGCATACCGTTGCCAAGATCAACTTTCCCACATGTTATTGATCTTCTGCGTAAAAAACAAAATTTTGATCTATAGACAAGTCTAGACAAAAATTTATCACAGCTTGAAAAAGCAAAACAAAATGCGGATAATGTCCTACGAATTTTCCGTTTTTCAGTCATTTTGCATTCCTCTAGAGCCATTGATTTGGGGACAGCATGGCTCTCAATAAAGTTGATATACTTGTCCGCAGTGTTAGTAGATCATTCACATGTTTCTGTTGGTTGACGGGATAACACATCAGCAGGGTTTGATGATCCTGGTCGGTATTGCACTTGGTACAGGTACTGCTGCATTCGGAGAAGCCATCTCTCAATGCGTGGTGGTGGTTTGGATTTAGGGCTATAAATCGGTTCAAGTGACTTATGGTCAGTGTAGGGGGTAAATTCTTTACCTACAAGATACAAATGGAAGCATTTACAGCCCCATACCACTGCAAGGGCTTCTTTTTCTGTCTGCGAGTAGCAGCGTTCAGTGGGGGTAAGGGTGCGACTTGCATATGAAATGTTGCGTATGGTACCATCCTCTTGTATCTGAGACAGTATGGCCCCAAGACCGACAAGACTTGCATCAACAGTCAGGGTTGTTTCTTTGGCAGGATCATAGAAGGCCATGCTTCAATCCTCTGCAATTGCAGTCTTAATTTTCTCAAAAGCTTGTTGGTGGATGACAGTCCATTGCCATTTTGTTGACTTCTTGGTCAGTTCGTTCAGAGGTGCTGAAAGAGTGGCAAAATCTTTGATAAAATGAGCACAGTAGTTAGCTAGACCAAGGAAACGTCAGAGCTGAGCAACATTCTGTGGAGTTGTCGTTTTGACTATGGCCTCAACTTTCTTGGGATCAGCAGATAGACCATCTTTGGACAAACTGTAACCATAAAACCATAAACTTGGTTGGTTGTATTCACATTTATCACCATTCAATGCGAGGTCCTTGGCATCTAGGCGTTGGAACAAAGCTTCAAGATTGCGATCATGTTCTTCCTGGGATTTTCCCCAAACTATGAGGTCATCCGCTATGTTACAAACACCATGAAGACCTTGAAGTGACTGTTGGAAAAGTCATGTGTGCAAAAGGTGGTAACAGATCGCGATTCTTCTTCCAATTCAAATTGATGGTAGCCAGCGCGAAGATCTAATTTTGAAAAGACACAAGCACCAGTCATGTCCTCCATGAGCTCTTCCACAGTGGGAATAGGGTGCCGTTCTCGAATTATGGCTCGGTTGGGTTGTCGATAATCACCACATACTCTAACTTCAGATGGGTTGTGGGGTTTAGGTGCTGCGACCACAGGCGATACCCACGATGTTGGACCTGATGCACGTTCTATGATATCGAGTGCTTCCAATTCTTCAATTCGGGCAGATACTTGCTTACGTAAGTGAAATGGTACTCGCCGAGGTTTTTGGGCAACTGGTTGTATACTAGGGTCAAGATGTAGCTTTTGTTTATAATCTTTCAGTTTACTAATGCCAGTAAATAGGTGCTGAAACTTTGCAACCAGATCAGACGTGTTGCTTGATGTAGAAATAGGCATGGTTGTTGTTTGGTTGACATTAACATGCAAAAGTCCCAGTTCTGTTGCTGTCTCATATCCCAACAATGACCCAGAATTTCCTTCAACAACATGAAATGTTGCAGATGTAGTTTTTGTACCATTACAAAATTGAACTTCAAACTTGCCGGTAGTGGGTAGAGGAACTGTAGAGTTGTATGGGTATAATTTATTGATGTAGGTTCCAGTTGGAGCTTCGCATTGTTCTTTTGAATACATTCAAAACTTGCAGAATCTAAAATATTTGTTGTTGCACCAGAGTCAAGAACTAATCTTATATCCGTTTCGTTTATTTTCGCCGTCACGAAAACACCCTTGTTTGTTTTGGTTACCTTCATTGGGCTGAACTTGGATTGACCTTGGGTCAAGGTGAAGCTGTATTCGTTGCTGTCGTCATTCGCCGAACTTCCGGTTCCGGTTTCTCTTGGCGTTGTTATGATTGCTTTAATAGAGTTATCGATTTCATTCGATTTTTCCCTGTTTTGTGCACGAAATTCTGGCTTTCGCATTGATGAACTGCGGCAAACTTTGGCAAAATGGTTGAGCTTTCCACACGAACAACATGATTTTCCTTGTGCTGGGCAAACTTGTTTGTGACCTGAAAAATAGTTGCTACCACAGTTAAAACAGTTACCAGTTTATTTTCCGGATATATTCGCTGTTTTGCTTTCTTGTTGAAATGACTCGTTCTGGTCGGCACTTCAAGAACGATTGGTTGTAAGTCGATTCAGTTTGGTATCTTCTTCGTCAGCCATGACACTGGCATGACGATTAGCGGTTTCCTGTGCCTGGGCTAGTTCTTGTAGCTTTTCGAGAGTGGTGTCAGCTCACGAAGTAATTTCGCACGAAATACCTTTGACGGCCAAGTGATTACAAAATGATCTCGAATTTCATCTTCTACACTCGCAAACTCACATGTATCCCCTAGCTGTCGAAGACGTGTAATGAAATGATCAACCGATTCGTCAGGGCTAGGTCGGGTCTGTTTGAATACATATCTTTCGTAAATTACATTTTTCTGCGGTTGAAAATAACTAACGAGTTTCTCCACAGCTATTTTATAATCTGTGCCAGTGTCGGTTAATGTGTTGAAAATCTTATGAACTGCAGGACCAGCAACGTAGAGTAGGAGAGCACGCTTTTGTTTGGCATCCGTTATATTTGCTGCAAGCAAGTACATGTCAAATCTTTCACGCCAGTCTTTCCATCATTGAGCTAAGGACGACTTGTCACTTTCGGCATCAAAAGCAGGCGGTGGTGCTAAATGCGTAAGTTTCATTGCCATATTTCTTTAAAATAATCCTCGTCGCCAATATAATGAAGTCAGTTTGTAATAAAATAATATATTTAAATGATTAATGTGAATGTCCTAGATCCGTCCTTGCTCGATACAACAGTACATGTGTTCATTGTCCCGTGACTAGATCATGTGACCTGTACGTCACAATACTATACCCACAATGTAGGTTTAGAACTTGTGGAGGTCCCTACAACGTTGGATAGGCAAACACATACATACATGATATGTAAAATGATTGAGGTTGGTCACAGTACGTATTTCTCGGGGAAGTTCATTAAAAAGTTTTGGTGCAGCTGCGGTGAAAGCTCTATCTCCAAGAGTCTTCTTCGTTTTAGTTACTTTCGGTGCAAGTAACAGTTCATTATTTGATCGCAGACAGTATTTACTCTGTAGTTTCGTACTTATAAGATCACTTATGTACACAGGTGATAAACCATGTATAGATTTAAATATTATAACTGACATTTTAAATTCTATCCTAAATCTAATTGGAAGCCAATGTAATGTGCGCAACACTGGAGTTATATGTCCAAACCGTGGAGTATAGGAAATCAACCTGGCAGCCACATTCTGCACACACTGCAGCTTCTTTATCTGTTTATCAGGTAACCCAAAAAGTAAACTGTTACAATAGTCAAGTTTTCCCATCACATATGCATGAACCAATGTCTGAGCTGCCTCGTTTGAGAGAAACTTTCTGATTCTTCTGATGTTGTGAAGATGGAAGAGCGCAGCTTTACATGTTTTATTTATGTGTGTTTCATAACTCATGTGAGAATCAAACCATACTCCCAAATTCCGAGAAACAGAAACTGGGGTCACGGTGACGTCACCAACAAACAACTTCTCGATGCATACTTTGCTAAGCTGCTGGTGGGTACCCAATAACATGAACTCTGTCTTGTCGTCATTCAGTTTCATCTTATCTGTGATCATCCATGCCCGAAGAGCCTTTATACACAACTCCATCGCCTCGATTGCCTCTGCCTCACTTGTTCTGCCGTTTGGTTGAAATAACAAGTAAAGCTGTGTATCATCCGCAAATGCGTGTACTGTTGGTAGATATTTCTTAATTATGTCAAACAGCTTACTAGAGTAAACAGTAAACAACAAGGGGCCTAGGCAGGAACCTTGTGGCACGCCATATGGAAGCTGAAAACTTTTCGACTGTCCCTCACCAAACACAACACGTTGAGACCTGTTTGTGAGATACGATCTAAACCACTCCAGAACAGTACCAGTTATACCAAAAGAGGTTTCCATACGATGCAAAAGAATTCCATGATCCATGGTGTCAAAAGCTGCGCTGAGATCAAGGAGCACAAGAAGAGTCACCTGCTGTCGATCCATGTTCATTAAAATATCATTCTGCACTCTCAGAAGCGCTGTCTCTGTACTAATTCTTGACGAAGGGCCTTCGCTCGAAATGTCGAGTTTCTGCTTATTTTTTAAGGTAGTAATATAACCACTCAGCACAGCATTTTCACATTGGTACTACCTACACTGGTACAGACAGTTTTAGTCTCTCTCCTATGACCCTTTCTATATGCAGATTGGAGTAGAGGGAAAAGTTTGTGAGTCATCATATGGTGGTAGGTTTGGTTATAAACTGCCCATGGGTTGAAGGTTGGTGAACAAAGCATCGAGTCCCTTTTTTTTATAAGAGGTTTGACAAGTGCTTCCTTCCATTTGTCAGGGAAATGGCCAGTGAGCAGTGAGGAATTGATGATATGTGTAATCACAGGATGTAATGGGGTTAAACGGATAACCAAAGATGTAGGCATAGGATCTAGCGCACATGACTTTTTTGCTGACGCCTGGATAAGATTTTGGATTTCATTTTCAGTTAAACACTGAAAAGAATTCAATGCTATGTCTTTATTCACTACCCGATCATCTGGCACTAAATCACTTACAGAGGAGTCAACAACCATAGCATCAATGTCAGACCGTATTCTTGAGATTTTTCGCACAAAGAATTCACCAATATCTGTCGCCAGGGCCGTATTGTTGTGATAATTCGGGAAACACAGCTCTTCCTTTGCTACCAACAACTTATTTACGGCTCTAAACAGCTTTCCTTGGTTGTAAAACGTTCTCCTCGCTTCATTCATAAGGTATGTCACTCGATTCGTTTAACCTTAAACTGATTAAAGTCAGACAATAATTTGCTCTTGCGCCAAATTCTTTCGGCCTTTCTGCGAAGTCGTTTTGCAGCATCGATTTCACCGTTGTACCAGGGTGCCGATGCCCTCGCTCTTACACTTTTGGTCTTTAATGGTGCATGACAGTTACTTAGGCTCGACAGAGTTTCATTGTAATCACGTGCCAGCGCATCCATGTCCTCTGGCAGCAGATTTGTTGGTTCACCACAACAGGTCGCACACAATGCAGTAGCAGCCAGATCTTGGTTTAGAGAGGTCATGTTCACACATTTTAATTTCCTGTAACTAACTCTTTTGATTGACATAACTGGTTTGGCTGGTAATAGATCACAGATAACAGAGGCATGGTCAGAAATAAAACGGTCTACATACGGTTGATTCATTATGATCTGATCAGAGTAACATGTGATTATAAGATCAAGGATATGGCCATGGGTATGTGTGGCCTGGGTAACATGTTGCCGGAGACCAACCGACTCAAGCAGATCCTGAAATTTAAAAGAATCGGCATCTGCAGCATCATCAATGTGTATGTTGAAATCACCAGAGATCAAAAGAGACTCCTTAGACAACAGAAGAGACTCTAAATAGTTCGAAAATTCATTGAAAAAGATGCTCATGGGCACGTTATGCTCACTAGAGTACGGTGGACGATAAAGCACAACAATGTGGAGTTTGCGACTGGATGTTGTAACAGACCATTCAGAAAATTAAAACGAAAATTCAAACGTTTTATTCCTGCATCTAACTTTTTTGCACACAACAAGTCTCGATATATTAGACCAGTCCCGCCACCGCACAGCTCGTCACGTGGGTGATCCAGAAATTTGTAGCCATCAGGACATAATTCTGGTCGGACAGCTGCGTCATCAGAGCTCAGCCAGGACTCGGTTATACCAACAACATCCAGCTTGCATTCACAGATGTAGTCCAAAATGTCAGTGGGTCTTATTTCTTACTGAACGAGCATTTAATACACACAATTTTAATGATTGGTAATGTACATTCAGATAATTAGAACAATTCACAGTGATTAAATTATTAGTGTTACGCGACGAAAGGCGTGACGGTTGCTCCGCATTGCGAGATGTTGTTGGCCTGAAAGGCCTATAGCTATGACGCACGGATACAATGGGTGAAATTTTGCTGCGAGTAGGACCAGGATTTAGTTTAAAGACTAGATCACCAATAAGTAGAGTACGAAATGAGTACCATAAAAAATGGATACTTTGGTGAATGACGGGAACACTTACAAAAAACTTAAGAACGATCCATCAAAGAAATTACAACATAACCTAAATAAAAAACTTTGGCCGTTACATTTAGCAAACATTATAAAGAAACCTTTGTACTCAAAACTTTGCTGTTCGGTTGCGCAAGCTCCAAAACTGTATGGTTTGCCTAAAATTCACAAGGAGAATACACCTATGAGACCAATCGTGTCGTTTTGTTCATCACCAACATATGAACTTTCAAAATATCTTGCACGCATTTTGAAGCCTTTAATAGAGCGCTCGGAACACCGCCTCGTGAATTCCGCAGATTTCATGACGAAAATTCAAGTGGAGACGATCAGTGCCACTCATGAACTGGTCACCTTTGATGTTAAGTCTTTATTCACAAGTATTTCATTAAAACTAGCAATTGAGTGCATGGAAGAGTCCTTAGCTAATTATGATGATGAACTTCCAATCCGGAAGGAAGAGAGATCATAGACCTACTCAAATTATGTTTAGAGTCTACATTTTTTCAGTACAACAGAAGTTTCTACCAACAACTTCATGGCACAGCAATGGGATCTCCAGTTTCCGTAGTTGTAGCAGAGATTGTAATGCAACGGTTAGAAGAATGAGCATTGTCCTCATACCCAAACCCACCACCAAGTCAGGTACAATAGCAACCTTAGTGAAGAGAGCGCATGCAGTTTGCAGTTCTAGTGAAACCCTCGAAGATCAGTTGCAGCACCTTGATAAAGTTTTTACCATCAACAAATATTCTAAACCTTTTGTGAACGTAATTGAACATTCCCGGAAAACAACACCAACTACCGACGAAACTGAACGGAAGAAGACCATTGCCACCATCCCTTACATCAAAGGTACATCCGAAAGAATTGCAAGAATCCTACGACCTTTCAACGGTAACGCTAACGCTAAGAAATACCTTATATATACATAAGGAATACCTTAACAAAAGTGAAAGATCCAACCAATACAAAGACCTGGATAGGAACAGTTTACAAAGTGACCCTGCGCTGAATGCCCCGCAACTTATTTCGGTGAAACTGGACGTACTTTAGATTGTCGCATTAAAGAACATAAGCGATCAACAGAGAAACAAGACATGGTGAATAGAATTGCGGTTCATCATATGAAAACAAATCATAGAATTGATTGGGAGGGAGCCACTTGTATGGAGTTTAATGGTTTTGAGGATGAGAGAATGTTCTTAGAAAGTTGGTTTACAAAATGCGATGAAAACAGCATTAACATTTGCCGCAATATGCCAGGAGCTTACGCTGGACCAATCACGCACGAACGCTGGCTCTCATGCCTTGAACGCAGGCGCGAGCAAACAACATCACGAACACGCGCACATCATTTTTGACGCAAGATAAAATTATTATAACTGTAAATTTTTTTGTAACTGTAATACGTCTTTGATAATGGCTGCTTTGTAGGTAGCCGAAACGTCAGAAATAATTTTAAAAATTTAATCTGGATGATCGTACAATAAACTAAATTAATGGAAAAACCCGGATTCAAGCCCTTCAGTCAAGTGATAATTATTAACACATTAACGACAAGTACTCTACAACTGACAAATAAAATTGTTTGGCATTAGACAGAGTAAATACTAAAGTAGGGCGCATTGCCTGCTAATGGGTTAACAAGACACATTGGCATATAGGTTTGTTAACCCATTAACGACCAGTTCTCTACCACTGATGAGTAAAATTGCCTGGTGTTAGAAAGAGTAAATACTAAAGTAGGGTGCATTGCCTGTTTATATATTGCCTGTTTATATTTGGGCGCATTGCCTGTTAATGGGTAAAAATATTTATGCTAATAAACCCAATAAGATCTTTTGTATGTGTAATATTTAGGTCATTCTAGATAAGATGAAATAAAATATATATTCATAGGAGATAACCTCATATCTGAGACCATGACAGTGAAACAGTTGATCAATATATAGTAAGCTTTTTCCTATAAAAAATTCACGAATGTATTTCTTATTATCCACTATGACCCAATCACCCAAATATTAAAGGGGAAGTCAAGTCCGTTCTGCGCATCGGTTCTGCTCATAACAATGTGAGGACCTCTAATGTGAACATTGCCCAAATTTCAAATGTTTCGATTTTTCTGAACATAACTCTATTTCATATTCATTTAGAAGCATAGCGAACCAAAATGGTGTTAGATATTCAGACAGTACATCATATTTTAAAAAATACAGAAGTTCAAAATGTAAATAAACCGTTTGTTTACATTACGGACTTGACTTCCCCTTTAAGAAAAAATCATATTAAGTGTTTGTAGCACTTTAAATGGGATCATTGTATTCATATGTTTTACTGTCTGGTAGCCATCTGTTTCTTTTAAGAATTAATATTTTTGCAAAATATCTGTGGGCCTTAGCTGCATATATATATATATATTTATATATTACATTGTTTAATGCAACTGATGTTATTTCCCCTTTTCTCATTGCATCTGTCACTTTTGGCAGTTTTCTTGCTGGAATGTATCCAGTTGGTTTAGATATTCCCAGCAAAGCTTTCACAACTATGGCATTCTCATCACGCTTGCAAACATTCCAACCGTCCCGGTTTACCCGGGACTGTCCCGGTTTGGACTATGTTGTCCCGGTTTTCTTATTGTCCCGGTTTCTGTAGTATTTTAATAGTTGTATTCTTCAAATAAGGCTCATGTGACAATATTAATGAAATTTGTTTGGTTCAATACATATTAAATGAAATGGGAGCTTCTAGTTGCCCCAAACAATTGCCAAGTTTGTCGCCGATCGCGGTAATTCTCGTGACATACAGTACGTTGTTTTGACAATTTAGCGTTCGCTTTCAATTCCTATTCATTTTGCCAAGGGCTACATCAATTAGTAAAGCAGCGTAACAGAAGCGGGCACAATAATCGCGAGCTCTTGAATACGAGAGGATCACAGTTCAAAAGACCAGTGGTAAAAGTTTAAAATGAAACAATTTCGCCAGTACAGTACTTCAGTGAAATTAAAGCTTGTTGAGAAGATTACTTATGGGTAGTAAAACTAGTTTTTGTAGCATCCACTGTGAATTTATTGTTTAATTCAAACTCAACTCAGCCAGTTTTAACACTAACCCAAAGAGACACCACATCAATGAGAAAAGCGCGGCATTTATTTGAGGGAGGCGTTTATTCGATGGAGGCGTTTATTTAAGTAAAATGGGAAAATTGGGAAGTGTCCCGGTTTTGAGGTCTCAGAGGTTGGAATGTCTGCGCTTGCTAACTGGCTCTGCAGTGAGAAACACTTCAGGTGTATTTCCCTTGAGCATTAATTGTTTGCAAGCATGTAATGCTTCCTGAAAGTGACCATGAAAAGTAGTACCTTTCATGAATATCAATGCAGCAAATTGTTCTGCTTCATTGATCTCTTGTTCTTCATCCTGTTCCAGATCATTCTGTTCTTGTTCATCATTCTGTTCCAAATCAGCATTCTGTTCTTGTTCAGAATCCTGTTCGTCTATATCACTTGCATGTATATCCGGTAACCTTTGTTCCAGCACTTCATCAAGTTGATCTTCAAATTCATCATCAAGATCTGGTGAAAAATTGTTTGGCATTTGAGTTTCAGGGAATGTAAAATCTGCCAAGTCAATTAAGAGGCTGTCTCTCTAAGAACCGACCAATGACTCTCAGCTCAAAAAATGAAATTCTTCCTTACTTTCACAATGAAATGTATTTACCCCAAGAACAAACAAACACTATTTGGAATTTTTATTAATTTTTAAAATTTCAGCGATTTTTCGGTCCTGCGCCGTCGCACAGAAAATCCTCTGCCTATATCAGGCATAAAAATTAGCCGAATCCAAATACATATAATTTTAAAAGTATTCAACCAAATTTTATGATTTTTTCACCCACCAACGTGAAAATTATTCTACTTTGACACTTGCCTTGTTTTATGATGTTTTACAGAACGATTACGTCAAACTTTAGCAATAACAAGCACCGAGTCTAAATACGGCTTTGTACGCATATCAAATTCGACTTTAAATTTCTCAAAAGTGGCACCTAACTGGATTCAGTGACTAATATATGGTTAAAAAAATGGAAGTTTGATGTACCAATATCCATAATAAAACTTGTTACCAACCGCGATTTGAAGACTCGACAGCCTCTGAAATTTGATACAATTTGGCTATTTTGTTTAGACGTCAGAGCTTTCAGTTGAGACGTTGAGATGTCAGAGCTTTCAGTCACTTGTAAAATGCGCTGTTGGTCCGTTTTTTTTACACAAGCCGTTAATATCATCGTAGTTAAGCGATTTTTCTCTGTTCATGAACATATACCTGGCAAGGTTTAGGATTCAATTTTTGCTGTAGTGTTTCTGTATTGTGCTACAAAACACTACAGATTAAGTATATGAAGGGTATAGCTAACAACCAATGAATGGTGTGTTAGCAAAGAATGAGATGTTTTCTCAAACTATTTGCGGGAATTGTGGAAAGAGCCTATGAGAACGAGGTTATCTCATAATAAACTGATTAGCCCTAACCAATTTGAGCGAGACTTGGGCAAGTCTGAAAACCTGAGCAAACGAAATATGTAGTGTATCATGTTCTCGGCATCGCGACCAGTTGAAGCTGAAGGCTTGCATAAAATAGTCAATTCCCTTATGCTTTGTTCATTATGAGTAAGGTTTAATTTAGGAAGGTCAAGTTACCCATTGCTGTTGGCATTGTTTGCACATATTTTTGCATCATTATTAACAGGTAAGACTAACGCCCGTATTCTAAGAGCTCACTCACACTCACACTCAATGAGTGGAGGTTCAATCTGAGCTTCCCTTGAAGTGTCAATGCTGTTTTTGAATAGCTGGAGGGGTAGTGCCATACCGTACTATGTGAGTACTCACCCTCCAGCTATTCAAAAACAGCATTGACACTCAAGGGAAGCTCAGATTGAACCTCCACTCATTGAGTGTGAGTGTGAGTGAGCTCTTAGAATACGGGCGTAAGTGCTAGACTACTTAGCCTTATTGCTTTATATTAGGTAAATGCTGTATGCTTTATATACAACCATAGCCCATTGCTTTTGTCATAGACGTTCAGACAAACTCTGCAAAGTATATAGAACCTTTTTTATAGCGCTACATAACACTACAAAACTCTGCAAAGTATATAGAACCTTTTTTAAAGCGCTACATAACACTACAAAACTCTGCAAAGTATATAGAACCTTTTTTAAAGCGCTACATAACACTACAAAACTCTGCAACGTATATAGAACCTTTTTTTAAAGCGCTACATAACACTACAAAACTCTGCAAAGTATATAGAACCTTTTTTAAAGCGCTACATAACACTACAAAACTCTGCAAAGTATATAGAACCTTTTTTAAAGCGCTACATAACACTACAAAACTCTGCAACGTATATAGAACCTTTTTTTAAAGCGCTACATAACACTACAAAACTCTGCAAAGTATATAGAACCTTTTTTAAAGCGCTACATAACACTACAAAACTCTGCAAAGTATATAGAACCTTTTTTAAAGCGCTACATAACACTACAAAACTCTGCAACGTATATAGAACCTTTTTTTAAAGCGCTACATAACACTACAAAACTCTGCAAAGTATATAGAACCTTTTTTAAAGCGCTACATAACACTACAAAACTCTGCAAAGTATATAGAACCTTTTTTAAAGCGCTACATAACACTACAAAACTCTGCAACGTATATAGAACCTTTTTTTAAAGCGCTACATAACACTACAAAACTCTGCAAAGTATATAGAACCTTTTTTAAAGCGCTACATAACACTACAAAACTCTGCAAAGTATATAGAACCTTTTTTAAAGCGCTACATAACACTACAAAACTCTGCAACGTATATAGAACCTTTTTTTAAAGCGCTACATAACACTACAAAACTCTGCAAAGTATATAGAACCTTTTTTAAAGCGCTACATAACACTACAAAACTCTG